GGATTGGCTTGGACACGTGTAGAACTTCGTTCAATTTTTCTGTGGCTCAAAGCGCTGTAGGACAGTATTGGAAATCTGCTTGTATCCTTTGTGGATCTAAACGTATCCCTTCAGGAAACTACACAGAGGTTCAGGGCACTCCAGACTAGCTGATCATCTAGTATGTTTAACAGATCTTTGCAATTTTCAGACGAAATTCTCCATTTAAGGTTGATAGTGATGGTGAGGTAAAAATTCTGAGAAACATGTGTGGGTTTTAGATTTAATCGCTTGTATTTCAGTGTGTTGCACTGGAGAAATGAGACTTAGACCGTGTCAGCCCCTGCAGCAATTTTGGTGAATCCTGACTTACGGAGTGAACTGAGAGGTCTTCGACTCTGAGGTAGAGGCTTCGTGACAAGAGGGTGCTGGACAGAGGAGAAGCTTTGGGATTCATCCCACAGCAGATGTTTATACCCGCGTACGCAGCAGGCGGCCGGTGCTGTAGCAGGACCGGGAGAGCTCACACCGTGGGATGCCGACCCTCAGCGTTGGCACCTCTGAAACTGAGCTGGGACACAGGACTGGTGGCACGAGCAATGCAGGTGGGAGCAGGCAGCTCCACACGGCACAGAGCCACGAAGTGATGCAGCAGCTACCGCAAACGTGTGTCAAAGCTGTCCTGCCAGCTTTCTTAGGACGAGCCTTTCAAACTTTTTATGGCCAACTGCTCTAGAAAAAGGTGGTTGAGAGCAGCCATGCACGTGTTTGTTTTCCCCTCCAGTCTGCAATAAGAGATTGTACAATCTTAAATACAGTCGGTGTTAGCCAATAATCAAAGGCTTGTAAATCTGAGATCAGTTATACTGTTCTTCAGTGTAGCGACCAGCATACACCCTGATCTGGATTTTTATAAGCCTTTCTGATCTATGGAACAGGTAGGGTGAGCTGGTGGTCTTTAACCTTGCCAGGAGCTCGTGTTGTGTGCTTAATTATGTTTGCTCAGGCTAGGCGTGTAAGCATGAACAGGAATCAGGAACGCTGATGGCACCACGAGAAGGCACGTGAATGCTTGGAGGTAGGAGAAGAAAGCCAGACTGCATCTTTCAGGAGCTAGCTGAGTTGACTTGTGTGCATTTCTATTTCCGTTAAGTCTGATATGTTTTGAAATTGCTCTAATGCAGGGCAGCAGAGTAGGCAGCACCGCAAGATGATCTACCCAAATCTAAAAATTGTGTTTGCCAAGTAACGCAAGAAATCAGTCGTTTCATGTTGTGTCCCTGAAATGCAACAGTAAACATTCAGCATCCACCATATGGACACCCGCTTTCACTAGACTATTACAAATAGGTTTGCTTTCATATATAGCAGAACTCTGACCAGGAACGTAGACCCACACTGCGAGAAACCAGGAAACTTCTGATTTTCCTGGGAGGAAAAGCTTGTCTTGTGTCCTCCTTGCTGGCTTGTGAGAAGAGGCTGCAGGTGATTGAGAATAATGCTGGCCTGCCTTGCCTCCCACCTGCAACCTCACCTAGGCTGGAGCAAAACAACTGCTTAAAATGGTTGTTTTCAATCATTTACCCTTGCCAGCTCCTCAGTTGTAGTTACTGCCTCTGACTGACCACAGAGATTTGCAGAACAGTGTTTGTGTTTGACGTGGTTATGGATAGATGACAATTTTAAGCAATGTGGCGAGCGTACTACTAACTGTTTATTCCTCAGATCTCTTTTGGATTCAGTCCTAAAGGGGCTTTTGATATATAATTATGTTTCTTCAAAGATAGTGATATCTGGCCAGCATGTGGAGTTGACCAGTTCCCACTCAAAGAAAAGAGAAAAGCAAAATATGGAGTTTGCGGGGTGTGTGGTTTTGGGTTGTGGGTTGGTTTTTTTTTTAAGGGGAAAACTACTTTAGCTCTTTTAAAGTGATGACACTCTGCGACTTCAATTGGCTAATTCTACTTGTGGTCCAAATGTAGCAGAGTTAAAACAGGAATGAAAGGCTGCCTGCCCGAGGAGGCGTGCCGGAACAAAAAGATTTGGAGGAGTTGCATGGCTTTGGAATAGTCATGGTCATGTTTTATGGAGACTGCTCTCTTACCCATGCTGCTGCAACAGCAATGGATGAATCTACTTGACCGAGGGAACTGAAAGGATAGCTCCTAAAGAGCTCCTGCAAGTGCCGGGTTGATGTATGCAAATATTCATGCCTTGTTGTATACTCCAGATAGTCTGATACAAGTTTAGTAGCAATATTCTCTCACAGCAGAGCAACATAAGTTAGGGTGGTCTTCACAGGGAAAGCTTGCAGAAGCCTTCAGAGATCTGTTCCAGAGAGTTCTTGTTTATTACAGGAATCAGAGGTGTAGAGGAGGTACGGTTCTCTTCCTAAACGTGTAAAAAAGGATGTAGGGAACTAAGTGGAGCGTTGCCCTGCCTCTTCCGGTCTCTCATAAAAAGCACAGGCTCTTCACATTTATTGGCAGTCGCTGGTCATAGTCCAAAGTCGTCTTCAGGCTTGCAGGCCAGCGGACGTGGCGTACAGTATTGGGCCAGAACTGCTTTGTCTGAGACTTTGCTCTTGAATGCTTTGAATTTTTTTCAGTCCCTTAATGGAGGAATTAGCGTGGAGAAGCCTACATTGGTCAAAGCTCCTTTGTGGCCTTTTTAGCATCACTAATTATCACCACCCAGACTGAAGGCTTGTCTCAGCATGGAGGAGCTGTGATTTTTCTCTCCCCCAAGTACTTTTTTAATGTGATGCTGTTGCCATGGTGCGAAGAGAGCTATGTCAGATTAAAGGTAATTTGGCCGTTTTGGTAAACTGCTCTGAGCAGCGTGACTAAGTAGTGATAATCTCGTTAAGTCACATTAAAACAAACCCAGAGCATTGGAGGGGGGATTTCACGGTGGCCATCAGCAGGATGGTGATGTATGAAGTGTGTGGATAGTACAGATACTAACCGTTGCCTCCTAGGAATGTAAATGCAGTTTAGGCTGAACTTTTGGAAGTCTGTATGTAGGCGGTTCATTCGTTGGTTAGTTTATGTGGTGCTTATCCAGAATGACGGATCACTCGATTACGTAAGTGGTTGGTTCCAGATGTTGTCTTGCTCTTCTCGTGTAGGATGCTCACTCGCAAGGAGAGGTGGTGGCATGCCTGGAAAAAGGCCTGGTAAAAGAGGCGGAGGAGGCTGATCCGCGAATTCAGGTTTCTGATCAGTGTAAGAAGGCAATTCTTCGCGTTGCTGAGCTCTCTTCGGATGACTTCCACTTGGACCGGCACCTCTACTTCGCGTGCCGAGATGATAGAGAACGATTTTGTGAAAATGTGAGTAGTTACGTCTTACCTTCTCTTCTACAATAATCCATTAAAAAAAACCCAAACAAAACCACATTGGAAGAAGGAACGGAACAGTAGAGTGGAGCCTGAGCGAGATTAGTGTAATACTGAAAACAGGCACCTCGTAGCTGTCATTTTGCAATAAATCTGGTGTTAAATCCACTCACCCAACAAACGAGCATTATTTCTGGTGGGTTAATGAACTGAATTGGCATAAATGGTTTAATGGGCATCAGAGCTGGTGTGACAGGGAGTGGAACGACTCGGGGAGGAGGCAGCAGAGGTAAGTGACCGCTCCTTTCTGCAGCGGTACGTTGTTGCCCATGAGCCTGACTCTGCTCACAGCACTCCTTATCCCTTGAGCGGTGAGCCGGGAAGCTGCATTGTTCAGTTGGAATTAACTTGTGTCAGCTGAGTGTCTTCTCACTAAAAGGGTGATGAACACAGCCAGATATTTCTTTTTTAATGCAGTAAAACTTAAAAGATTTTTATGTGTAGAAGTTATCACTGTCATTCGAAATATTAACTTTAATATATTTCTAGTTCAAAAAATAAATCTCTTTAGGTGTAGTTTAGCCTGCTTGTTAAGCAATACAAGTCTCATATTTAATGGCAAATGTTACTGTTCTGTTTCACAGACTCAGGCTGGGGAAGGCCGAGTCTACAAGTGCCTCTTTAATCACAAGTTTGAAGAATCAATGAGTGAAAAGGTAAGTATCTGTCATAGCGAGACAAATCCTTAATGCAGAAATCATCAGATCATTCATCAGTCCGGGCTACATTATTCTTTTTCAGTGTTGAGGAAAATCCATCATCTACGTGGTCGGATAACCGACTGCTCTAACAGATGCTTTTACTTTGATACGTTTGTGTTTCCAGCTACACGCTGATGGCTTGAATTAATTGTGCTCAAGTTACAGCCTTTAAGGATTTAAATAAATCAAAGCTTTTGGGTGGCTAATTTGGGAAGGTAGACGTGGAGCTCAAGTGGTAGCTCTGTGATTGAGAGTTTAAAGTCGAAGTCGCACCGTGCTGGGGTAAGCCTTGGATGAATGCTGCCATAAGGTACAGATTGGAAACAAAATGCTCAAACGCCTCAGCGCGGGAAGCTGTGTGTGTTTCACTCTTGTTTTCAAGGCTGTGAGTGTCTTGACTATGAAGCCGCAGATTCTGTGGGAAAGACACACGTTTTTCTTAACATTTTTCCTGAAGATGTTGCTTTCAACAACAATGAAAAAGTTGTTCTGGAAAGCGAGACCTGAAAAGAGTTTGTACTGGTGCAGGTGTTTTGGGAAGGCAGCAATGGCTTCAGTGATTTCAAAAGCAGTATCATAGTGTTTGGGATTATATGGAATTAAATTGTCTGTCTGAAAGGACGCAGAGATGGATATCTGTAAAGCCCTCCTTGGAGCAGCTCTGCTGAAGGAGCCTGATTCAGAAGCCTGGAGGGATCAGACTCATTTCCTTTTCTTTAAATGCATTAGCTATCTGAAAGCTTTATTCCAATTAACAAATTCAAAACTGAGAGGGTGATCCCTGGGGCTTGAAACAAAGCTTCATTTTGTACAAGCGTGTTACTGAAATGGACTGCTGTTCTTGCTTAACCTGGTTTTGGCTGTACAGGGACTGAGGGGTGTTTTTTTCGAGGGGTCTTTTCCATGGTCAGCTGTCTGGCCAAGATATAAGATGCTGAGAGGTTAGAGAAAGCTGTAGCAGATGACTAGGGAGGGAGGGGTGGATGCTCTGAGGGTGCAGTTTGCAGAGCAGGAGGAACACAAAATGTAGTTCTCACTCTTGCAGCTGCTGAGGTTGGACCGTTTGCAAAGCCATTAGTTTTATGAAAACTGTTACCCAGTAAAGAGTCCCTCCTTGCTGATGACATCGCTGCTGTGTACACACGTAGCTGATGATAGCTGCCTGGTGGGTGGCTTGCTGTCTGTAATCCAAAACTGCTTTCCAGGCTGGGCTCCCTGACTGTGCCTGACCTTCCCATGCTCTGGGGCACGAGGTCTGGGAGCCTGTATCTTCCTGTGTCTGGGACTTTCAGTCTCTCCAGTCCCAAGGTCCCTGTCGTGGCACAGAGATGGGAGCATGAAGGATAGGAGTGGGAGTATCTTGGAGCAGGGCTTTCCAGGTCCTGGAGTAGGTATAGGAAGGAGCAGGAGAAAAGTCAAAACCCTGATGTAAGGAAGGGGGAGAGGGCTATAGGGCTTCTCTGGTCCTTGTGCCGAGATTGCTCCCTGTCCTCCCCACCCTACACAGGCACAGTTTTCCTCCCTTTCCAGTACTCCAAGAATGGACAAATTTGCCTGAGCTATTCTGCATTATCTGCCACCCTTGGATGTAATTTTCATGTAATTTAAACCGAAAGCTGCGAAGCGTAGCAATGTTTTTACAGGCCCTTTTTTGGATGAAATTGAGAGGGTTGTTCTTGCAGCTGCAGGGTTTGGGTTTGGCTGCAGCGCATCCTCGTGAGCCTCAACAGTTGTGGAAAATGGCTAGAAATTCCCATGGTTTGACTGCTTTATCTGCTGTCATCTGTTCGGCACGTTGCAGAACAAAACCACAGAAAACCCTGTTTTGTAAATGCGACTGGAAAAAGTTGTTTCTTGAGGGCATGGGGGTGAGCATGTACCACAGCTGGGATAAATGTCAGCAACGGATCCTAGTTACCGAGAATGAGTCACGCTTTCAGCCGTAGTCCTTCACAAAAAGCTGGATGAATGTGCAGTTTTAAGAAGTGCTCTGCAGAGAGCTGCTGCCTTTAAAACCCTTGGTCTGTTGACCTCGGTGTGCATTGTTAGCTGTGTGGTTTCTATGAGACAAATGAAATTTAACTGCAGTCCAGCTTAAACACATTAATTTTGAAGCATCAGTCGTCTTTTGAAACACAACTTGAAAACTAAACAGCAGCAGGGCCAGCTCTCTGCCACCGGCGCGCGGAAGCTCATTCAGCCATCCCAACGTGTCTCCTGCAGTGTCGTGATGCGCTGACCACCCGCCAGAAGCTGATCGCCCAAGACTACAAAGTCAGTTACTCGCTGGCAAAGTCCTGTAAAAGCGACCTGAAGAAGTACCGCTGCAATGTGGAGAACCTTCCGCGGTCTCGGGAAGCCAGGCTTTCCTACCTGCTGATGTGCTTGGAGTCTGCTGTGCACAGAGGTACGTGGAGTTGAGTCAAGAGATGTGGGACTTGCTGGGACCTTGATTTTAAGTTTCTCTTGGACCTTTGCATGCAACGTGTATTTATGATCCTCTTCTCCAAGTAACCTTGTTCAAACTTTGGTTCAAAGGCAGATTTCCTCATCATGATGCTTTCGTCATTGTTGTTTGGAAGATCAGAATAGCTGAGTAAACCTCTGACGCTGACTCCTAGTACGTAGGCAAGAAGTCCGAGATGCAAAAAAGCAAATCCCACTTGGACTGATGATGTGTAATTACAAGTCCTTCTATTCACTGTGAATTCAAGCAGGTTTTTCCCTCCTTTATGTAGTAAGTGTTAAATACGCTACTAAGTTAAAACACGGAATAGAGAACTGATGTTTATCATCACTCAGGGAAAACCAGGGATACTCATTCCTCTGCCTTCTGTAAGTAACGTTCTTTCCTTGCAGTTCAGGAGCTTGGGTAAATGCCTTAATTTCTATGACTCTAGTTTTTCCTATGTAGAAGGAAGGTAAGTGTGAGAATATTCTTTTTGTTCCTTTAAGTTAGCGTAAACTGGAGATGTCCTAACACCAGTGGCTGTCCCAAAGGCAATTAGAAGGCCCTACGCAGCAGGACCATGCTAAAGGCTCTCTGTGACATTGCCATAACACATAAAATGACACGTTATATCCTCCAGATCTGCACTGGAGAATCGTTTGTTTTCCGCCTCGGCATGCGGCTGGGTGGTTTGCGATTCAGCAGCAGGGCGG